AAGAGAAGGCTGCCTGTTCCTTCATCTCCTTGGGGTTTCTTAGTTTCTGTTTATGTTTATTTCTTTGCAGCACACCAGTTTGCTTTAAGGGAGCATGTGCTTTTCCAAAATCTTTTCTTTTCTAATTTGACGTTTGCCTCCACAAATAGTTCTAATGAAATGCGATGAGGTATTTTGGATAGACATTTGCTTCTGGAGATATTTAGGAAAATTATGAAAGAATTTTGATGGCTGAGGCAAGTTAAGAAGTGAAGTTCCCCTTGTCTGGGTTGTCTTCTATATATTCTTGTCATCACTGCCGGTACTTGTTTTATATTGGCACTTTGAGTAATGTAATTTTTCTGGTTTTTAGGTTGGTTTTAGAGCCATTGCAGAAGCTCTTGGACTGGCTGCTGTTAAGGCAGCAGTTGCCATCGCTGCAATTATTGCTGGGGGACGGTTGGTAAGTTTATATCTTAAGACATTCATAAAGGGCTCAGGTTTGGACAATATTTTTTTGTTGTTTTACTTTATTGTAATTTATCCTGTAATATTTGAATTAATTTATCTTCTAATATTTGACTGATGAAAAACTTTGATAATTGTCTATTAGGATCTAAGAGTAATCAAATATAACCTTGTTGCACAAATGTAGTATCATTGAGTGGAGTTAACTGATAGCCTGTGAGAGGTTTGTTATACAAATAGTAAATGCATCTAATAGTCTTTGGTAGTATTGACTCAAGCAATTTACCCACAATTTTCTGAATTCGCTAAGATTGTTGATACCTTTTGTTCTTTCTTGCAGTTACTCCGACCGATCTATAAGCAAATAGCAGAAAATCAAAATGCAGAAATATTCTCAGCCAATACCTCCTTGTTATTGGGTCTCTTCTTCATGACGGTTGGTATTTTATTTGCTGGCATCTCCGTTTTAGATGAACAGAATTTCATTCTTGCTTCAGTTGTAAAAGCTACCTGGTGCTCCTTTCTTATGGCCATTTAGTGTAAATATTATATAACAGTTGTATGACCAAGATTCTTTACTATAACAGTAGGGGGTGATTTTATCTCATAGTTGGAAGTGGGAGAAAACTGAGAGAGCTGGTTGGATAAAGTCTTCATTTCATTACATTACCAAGTTTGGAGAATGATAACACTTGCTTAATTGGCTTTTTTTGGGTTTAGGTTATTGGTACTGCCATAGTTTGATGATCTAGCATATCCAACTACTGACAAATTGACTTTTCAGGTTGGCATGTCCATTGACCCAAAGCTTCTTTTATCAAATTTTCCTGTCATTGCGGGGACGTTAGCACTCTTACTCGGTGGCAAGACTGTATTGGTGGCAGTTGTTGGGAAACTTTTTGGTATTTCAATCATTTCTGCCATAAGGGTTGGTCTTATTCTGGCTCCAGGTGGAGAATTTGCATTTGTAGCTTTCGGTGAAGCTGTTAATCAGGTTTCTTTCTCTATTAACTAACACCAGTTGGTCACAAGATTATCTTCTCATCCACATCTAATAGTTTATCCTGCATTTGGTAACTTTTTATTTAAACTTTTGGGCCATTGGGTTTTATTTTATTTTTTTCAGTGTAAGGTTTATTCCGTAATATTTTGGGATATCATTAATTGTATCATATATCTTAGGTAAATGGGCATGCTTTGCTATTAATCAGTAGAGATCATTGTTCTTTAAATATGAAATCCAACTTCCAAGTTCTAATAATGAATTTTTTTTTAATGCTTATGCAAGTATTAACGGGCTTTTCTTGGCAGGGAATAATGTCTTCTCAGCTATCCTCATTGTTGTTCCTTCTTGTGGGGATTTCAATGGCCCTCACACCTTGGCTTGCTGCCGGAGGCCAATTAATTGCCTCACGTTTTGAGCTGCAGGATGTTCGAAGTTTATTGCCTGTTGAGAGTGAGGTAACATGTCTAAATTGAGGTTGCAAGTTTTAATTTACCCCCTCATTTGTTTGAATAACTAAAGCAGGCCTTCGCATGGTTCTTTGAGTGAACTCCATGGTTTGTTACATTTTGAGGTAGTAGCAAATAGATATGGGAATAAAGCTTCATTGATTTTGCAATAAAAGTTATTTGGGCTGATTATGATCAGATATTAAATATTGGAGGGAATGTGAAGTATCTGTATGCAGTAAATATCCATCCAATATGTTAAGCATCCAATTTTTTAAGTAATGGGATCACAGATAATTACATACTAATCTGTCTCTGACTTGTATTATTTCCAGACTGATGATTTGCAAGATCATATTATTATTTGTGGCTTGGACGTGTTGGCCAGGTATTTATATATTTACTCCATTGAATTTGAAAATTTACTCTGAAAATGTTAATCTGATGAACCTCCTCTCTAATTAGTTAATAGTGAACATATGTTTGTAATAATGTCATTCTCTTTTTCTCTGGGTGTTTTCAGATCATAGCTCAGCTTCTATCAGAACGCCTAATTCCATTTGTTGCTCTTGATGTGAGGAGGTAACAAGAAAATTTATTTGAATGAATATTTGCTTTTTTTTTAAGAAATAAGGTAATGGTAAGAGACTAAAATTAATGTTCTGCACTTTCAGTGATAGGGTGGCAATGGGGCGTGCCCTGGACATTCCGGTTTATTTTGGAGATGCTGGTAGTCGAGAGGTAAGCAAAATCGGTTTGAAATAACCCAACTCGTAGATCACTATTTGACTTCCTTTATACTGGTGAACAGGTCCTTCATAAAGTTGGTGCTTCAAGAGCATGTGCTGCAGCAATAACGTTGGATACTCCCGGTGCTAATTATAGAACTGTTTGGGCTCTGAACAAGTATTTCCCTAACGTAAAAACATTTGTCCGTGCTCATGATGTTGATCATGGCCTTAATTTGGAAAAGGCTGGGGCTACGGCTGTAATATTCTGATACCTTCTACTGAAATTTCGTTATTTTCAAGTCTACAGTTGGCAGCTGCTGTTCTTGCGCAGGTATGATGCATTGTTTTCGTACTATGAGCATCCTCGTTTCCCTTTTGCTTTCGCTGGCAGTAAAGGATCTGTTTTGGCATTGCGCAACTCTTGCTATGGCAACTTACTAATATGATTAAAGCTGGAGAGTTTAATTTGTTTTTCACCCATTAATCTTCTATTTGTCGATATCTTAAAGCGTCTTCTGTGTTTCTTTTTGCAGGCTAAACTGCCCACATCGGAGATTGCACAATTGCAGTCCCCCATCTTGCGGAGCTAACAGAGGTACTCCCTACAACCCTACTCTCCTTTTCGTAGCAGAAAACTAAAATCACTATATCGCCTTCATTTCTGTTGGCATTCATACCAAACATTTTACCGTAATTCGTACATGTTTCCATTTTCACAGCTATGCCAAGCTAGCGGAAGTTCTCTTGGTTATGGATTTTCTCGAGTCACGAGTAAATCCAAAACGCAACCGCCGGATTCTTCAGATGGAAACCTTACCGAAGGAACTTTGGCGATATGTTAACCCCCACCCCCCACAAGGGGGAATAAAGAACTGTATAGAACTACATGCCTCCCCTTTGTTGTAAGCTGTACAGAGATTTTTCAGCGATAATTTCTAAAGGGGCTGATAACTTTTTGATGAATCCTTCGTTAATAATGTCTAAATGAAAAGAGATGTCACCAAATAATATACGGGAAAGGAACAATTTCATGTTGAATTCTCAAAGATGATATTTGTCCCATCACTAGACAATCCTTATCCTACCTGATATAAATGGATATTATTCAGTAAATAATTGAAGATGAATAATAATCCAATATTTAATTAAGGGTAAATTATATTGTTTCTCATTGAACTGCACTCTCTCTCATATTTTTCTCACCCAACTTTCAATTTGATTAATTTGCTCATTAAACTTTACAATTGAATCATATTGCTCACTCAACCGTTCTCTCTAACAGTTGATGATGTGCCCTTTTTATTATTATAAAATAATTAAAAAACAAAATAAAAATATAAGGTGGCGGGATTCCACCATCGTCGATCGTCTTATATGGTGGTCGTTTGGTCCTAAAATGGGATGGGTCGCTTCGCATCGACACCTTGAGTCTGAATTTGACCTCCATTTTGTCGGAACTTACTCCGAAGTCCACGAATTTGGGATTGAAAGTGAGGAAACTGAAACATTTCAATCCAAATCCACGGGTTATGGGGCATTTTCTAGTGAAACAAGCATCAGATTCGGACTCAAGGGGTCTAGAAGAACCGACCCATGAAATTTGGGATCAATTGGCCACCATCTATGGTGGCCGGAATGAAAATGACGTGCTGGCCAGTAGAGAGAAAATGAAAAATAGAAGGAAAAATGGTAAATCACATCATGAGTCACTGAACTTTACTCTCTTATTTTACTCACCAAAATGATGTCGTTTTGGAGTATATTTAAATTTTTCAAAATGACGTCGTTTTGGAGTATATTTAAATTTTTCAAAATGACGTCGTTTCGGAGGTCGATGCTAGCTGGAATGAAAATGACATGGTGGCCGGCAGAGAGAAAAATGAAAAATAGAAGGAAAAATGGTAATTACACCATGAGTCACTGAACTTTACTTTCTCCTATTTTACTCATTGAAACGACATTGTTTTGGAGTATATTTGAGTTTTTCAACATGACGTCGTTTTGATGCCCGTGTCGCGTCATAACGCCGTTAAATAGTTAATGGCAGAGTGAGCAAAATGATTCAATTTGTAAAGTTTAGTGAGCAAATTGATCAAATTGAAAGTTGGGTGAGAAAAATAGGAGAGAGAGTAAAGTTCGGTGAGGAATGATGTAATTTACCCTTTAATTAAAAAGGTGTATTTGGGTAAAAGCCTATATTCTAATTTATGTATTATTTACTTTGCCTCTTGGCTACAATGTAGATGTATTGTATGTTATTTATACACTAAAAGATAAAAATTGCTGCAACCACAATACGGTAAAGGTCCAAAAGTGAATTCGATTTCCTCAACTTGTAGTAAAAGAATAATCGTGACACAGAGTCTCTGCAAGTTCTGAATAAGCAAATTTTAACCAATTTGACGAGAACTATATATAAAAACTACGTACTTGAGCAAGCTCCGGCTTGGCACTTATTCCTCTATTAAAATACGTGACACAAATAGATAACATCAAGATGAAAAATGGTGTCGTTCAAGGGTTGCTTAGGGAGAGTGCTTTGCACTGCTGCACTGTGTCATCAGGACTTGTAACTTCATGACCAAAACAAATATGATGTTAATCATCCTGCCCACAACATATTAAATCATTGAACATTGAAGATCTGTGTGTAAATTGTTCGAGTTCGAGATAGCAACTCACCTGTGTGTCCCACTGTTCTGTTCGATTCATAAATTTCATGATCATTCCCTCCCTGATTAACGTTGTCGAAGATAAAGGCTGAAGTAATTTATGAATCATATAGAATGGAGGACCAAAGAAGTGGAATGGAACCAACCTTGTATGTTTTGTCCCCAAAGAAGTGGATTTCTGGAAAATCTTCAAGATATCTCAAGCGGTATGTTTTGTCCCAGCCCCGGGGGAAAACCTATTACAAGCAAAATGAAGCAATAAATAATCGACGACTCCTTTCATCATTCTTGGTAATTTAAAACGTTTAATCACGAACCATGTGCATTACTCACATCAAAGCTTATTTTCCCTCCGATGGAGAACGTTAAATTCAGGTGAGCAAACTTTTCTCGAAGCACAGAAACCATTTCCGGGCGAATATTCTGAACCTGAAATCTCATGTATTTAGGTTTGTTTAAGCATATGCACCTAAAAGTACTGATTCCATATCCTTTAGATTTGTATTTTTTATACCTTGTCATACTTCTCGAATTCATCCCTTTCTTCTTGGCTGCAGTTTCGTCCGATTGGAGATACATTGAGCATCCCACTTCGGAATTCTATGAATGTACCCCTAAACCAAAGAAAAACAATAAAGAGGTTGCGTCATTCATCTTGGACGGTTAGAAGAATAAATAGAGTTGCGCTAGAGTTTGAAGTATGAACACCATTCCTTAAGTTTTCTTGCCTTTTTATTGGGATATCCAAGTTAGCAATATAATGCAGCGTGAAGTTTATAAATTCCTGCACAATCATTTGCAATGAATGAACAAATAGCATACAACATCAAGCTCTCGGCACTAGACTATTACTGCCTATCATTCAACCACCACTTAAAATATGTTCAAATTAGATATTGTACTTCAGATATACAAGAGTGTTAAGATAAAAGAGATTCACAAATAATAGTCAGTGGGGCTTACGACATTGGGAATATGGTTTGGAACAAAGGCTATGGAGAACTACTTAAACTCTTCCGTGATCACCAAAACGAGTTAGCTGGTCTCGGTATGGCAGGACTCTGATCAAGTTAAGGAAGCTGGAACTGATGTTTGGAGTTCATCCCGGTCATGATCATGCGGATCCGTTGTTCCACATGTAAGCCGTCAAAGAAGTTTGCATCAGTATCTTTAAACCTGCAGAAGTATGGGGGACACATCAGCTCATGTTCCTGCTAAACTATGATTAAAAAAGAGAGGAAAAAAAAGCAAACTTTTAGGACTCTACTTCTTATCCTTCTGTTCTTGTATTTATCTGCTCATCTCTTCATTTTATTTTAATATTTTTAAAAGAAAAGAAAAGCTTTAGCAAGGAGACTAACAAAAACCCAAGTGTTTGATTTTGTTTCTCTTTGAAAGAGAAAACCCTTTTGACCACTAAAAACACCATTAGAATTAAAATCTAAGTTCCAGTTCTGCATTAGGGTTCTTTTAATAATAAAAAAAAAGATCTGTGCCTATGCCTTGCTGGTTAAGGTTTGATTAGGGTTTTAGAAAAAGCAAAACTTTTTTGGGTATTGGAGTATTTTTTTAGAGCATGAAACCAGCTAAGGAGGAAGGTGATACTGATAATGCCACGAGCATTGCTGATAAAACTTATAATGCAGTTCGAAAGACAGTTTCTGTTCAAGGGTTTTCTTTTATTTTATCCTTCCAACTCTTTTCTATAGCATTATGAATCTGAATTTTTCATCATAATATACATATATATATATATCCTTTAAATTAGAGTTCTACTGTTTATTTAGGAGGAACTCAGGTCCCACTAGACGATCAACTAAGGGAGGTTGGACAGAGGAGGAGGTCAGTATTGGGTAGCTTATAAGTTATTTTAAATATATATATATAATAAAAAAGTAGCTGACCCTATTCTCAATGGGGTGAAGGGAGGTAAGGTAGTAGGTTGACTCCAACGTCAGGTTGAGAGCTGCTTTCGTGATTTAGTTGAAGTAATGCTTATTTTGTTTAGTTATCTTCCTTCCATTTGTAAAACAGGACAACATGTTGACCATTGCAATCCAAAGGTTCAATGGCAAAAACTGGAAGAAGATAGGTACATGTGTGCTGGTGTTTGAATGATTTTAGCTGTTGCTTTATGTTTCTACTTCCATTGAAGGAACTGGAATGAAGTGCGGCAGATCATAATCCCTTATTGTGTCCTGTTGCATCATCCGTTGTTGACATCATTTGCATATTGCAGCCGAGTTGGTTCCCCATAGAACAAATGTTCAGCCCCTACATCGATGGCAGAAGATTCTTAATCCCGACCTCGTTAAAGGACCTTGGAGCAAGGAGGTGTTAATTGAACAATGCTTCTCTTCGCCTTTTTATTTATTCGAGACGAGCCTGTCTAGGATCATATATGACAGTGCTTCATTCTTTTGTGTTTCTGGTCTCTCAGGAAGATGATATCATCTTTGAGCTTGTGGGGAAGCAAGGGAAGAAGAAGTGGTCTGAAATAGCTAAAGATTTGCCAGGCCGCATCGGCAAGCAATGTCGAGAAAGGTTCCCAGTCATATAGCTTTAAATAGCTCTGTTTGGTTTTGTTTTCATACAGATGAAGTAAAAGCCAATTGTTTATCCAGGTGGTGCAATCACTTGAATCCAGATATAAAGAAAAGTGCTTGGACCGAAGAGGAAGAGCTGATTCTTATCAGGGAACATGGAATGTATGGGAACCGGTGGGCGAAGATAGCGAAGCTTCTTCTTGGAAGGTATGTCCTTAAAACCATCCAATGGATATCTGAAGAGGAAGAAATCGAGCAACCACCTTTGTTTTCAACATTACAGGACAGAGAATTCAATAAAGAATCTCTGGAACTGCTCAGTGAGGAAGAAAGTAGAGCTACTGGCAGCTTCTCAAATCAATATAGGCAATCATGGAACAAGTATAGACTTCTATGCTGCAAATGATCTAATTAGACCGTCTTCTTCAAACGACCATGCACATGGTCCGAGTATTCAAAACCACCAAGTCCATTCTTGTAGTGCTCTGGAACCCGAAAACTGTAATATCAGAGTTGGTTTCTTAAGCTATGAGTCGCTTCGACCGAAGGATTCGAATACTTACACGACGACCGGTGAGTTTCCTGATACGGATGGCTACGCCGGGACGGCATCGAGTCCGGAATCGAAATTGAGAAATGCAGCCAAGAGTTTTAAAAACATACCATCGATCATTCGGAAAAGAAGCTCTCAAGCTAGAACACAATCCGGCAATGACAATGCAAAGGAGCTTTTTCTATCTCCAACCAAGTCACCCAAACTCCAGACCACAGATGCTGTAAAATCTGTAGAGCGAAGCTAAAATTAAAAGGTCTGTTCCGATTTTTTCGTTAGCAGAAATCCAATTCTTAGTTATACTCAATATTCATATTGAATTCGAGTAATGAATGAGCTCATTCACATGACGCTTGAGCTTACCAAACTCTTAATTACCGTAACTTTTTTTTTATCTGTTATATATACTCTCTACAATTTGATAACAAACATTCAATCAATCTACTATAATCGTTGGTGTTCGAATCGTAACTTAACTTTTAACTACTGAGATAAATTAATTCATGTAACTTAACTTTTAATAAAGTTTCGATTAAATTAAATCTTGTTTTGAATAATAGATTTTTATTATCAATTAAGAAACATCAAATTTATTAAAGTTGGACTTAAAACTAGAGGTGTTCAAACGGTTAATTCGGTCACCGACTGAATCCGACTGAATCGAATTACAATTAATCGAATTTTTTCTTTAACCATTAATTGAATCGAATTTTTTTGAAAATATTAACAAACCAAATAAAGTTTAGTTATTTCAGTCTGTTAACTGAATTAACTAAAATTATTTAGGTTATAATTTAATTAATTATTAATAATTTAATTAATTATTAATAATTTAATGAATATAATGTGATTAAAAAATAATTTAATCTTAATTTTTAATAAATTTGAGCTTGAAATATATATTTAATATTTAATAATTTTAATTAATTCGATTAATTAATTAATTCTGAACTAAATTAATCGATAATTAAATATTAAAAAAATTAACCGTTTCTCAATCTAGCTAATAAGGTGGCCGACCAAATAATATTAACGAATACTGGTTGTGTAACACGTGGACGCCCGTATTCCAAAACTGCTGACAAGAGAGTGGTGATGTATGGAAGAGGGCCAAGATTCTCTCAAGTTTTTAGTTCATCCAGTTAGCCTAAAGTCTCCGCTGTTCCCTCGTCAAAACACATTTAAATCAAGGGCAAACTATACACTGTAACAATCAAAATAGATAATTACCAAAATCTTAAAATAATTTGATTTACGATTATTGATCTTTTTTAAATAATTTAATCTCTTGTTGTGATTTATTTTAACGATACAATCAGATATTTAATTTTTTTTATACATAATCCTTATATAATTTTACAATATTAAATATTTTTTTAATAAAACTGACGATTTCTATTTACATAAAAAAATAATTGATAATATTAAATTAGAAATTTAAAATAGATAACAAACAACCCTTATATAGTGTATACATTTTTCCAGCACATGTGATAAAGGTGGCATTACTAGAAGCAGTACTTAATAAAAAGAAGACAAATTTTATAAAAATAAAAGTGCAAATCACGTTGGTTTGAGGGACCTGTTTCGGAAGTAATGACGTGTTTTCCATCCATGACCCTCCGTACACTCTCGATCGATCATATGCACAACTTTGCCACTTGACTCGTACCCGATTACAGGATCGGAACGAGTCGAGTCGATTTTTCAATCTATTCAACTTGATTTAACATAAATATTATTTTAAAAGAATTTAATTTGATATGATCATATTAGATCGAATTGAAATTTATTAAATTCGAATCCCGTATCTTATTTGGGTTCGTCCATCAAAAACCCAATGATTTTTAAAATTATTTGTTCTAATTAATTGTATGATAATTAATTAAAATTCAAACAACTTTTATAAAATGAAGATTTTAGATTAATAAAATTGATTTTTTGAAATTAAGATAAAGCTTTTGACAAGTTTCCTCCTAATCCCATTAATGAACCTTGAATTTTCCCAACGCCGTTTCCTCCATCCGTCGTTGAGATAAATTCCGGTTACTTTATATTTAACTTTCAGAGTGACTAAAGTATAACGTCTTAAAAATTTAGGGTTTATTTATATATTTTACAATAAAAAATATACAAGTTGGCATTTTTAATGGATTAACTGTCAAAATTAACGGTCCGTCACTGCTGGACTCATTTTAAGTAACGAAATAAAACATTATGTATCAAATTAGAATGAAAAAAAACGTTAAACTCTAAACTAAAAAGATAGACATAGATTGGATACCATTTATATATTTAAGCCCTTTAAAATATTTAGCATTACTTGTCGACATCAAATGAGAACTTTATTTCAAAGTGGTAATGGCAGTTCCTTCCCAAGTTACTGAGATTATAATATTCTAATTCTTACTTTGATTTTATAATTCTCAAGTCTAATTAAAGAAAGTGTAACCGCTAGCCTTTGCTTACCAAGTTTTTATTTTTGTTGCGCTCCAATTTTGTTTTGATTTTGATTCTTATACTACTTCTTTTACCATAAATAATTTATAAATATAAATAAATCAGACACAAATCAAACAAAATTACGAAATCATGTTTTGAATATACGCCAACGGTAACGGATCTAAAAATATTTTTTTAAGGTAGACACACATATGTTTATGGATACAAATAAAAAATTCAAGGACACCGTCTGTAAAATAAGTAATTAATTAAAAAAAATTCAAATTTCAGGATAGTACTTATCCACCTACATCAAACTATGACTCCTCCATTATGTATGAATATGAGCAATAATATTAAATAATTAAGAACATTTAAATATATATATATATATATATATATATATATATATAGAACGCGGGATCTTTCACGTATTAATAAATAATTAAAACCGACTTACATACACAAACACATGTTTTTCCTTGTCAGTTTACCTTGAATAAAAGAATTAAAAGAAGGAAAATTCAAACTAGAGATTTGTCATTAGTATAAATGTGAACTGGAACCGGTTTTTGTTCCAATTGAAACGATGGTTGAAACACTGTTTACTTACGTTTTTCTCCACGAATTTCCTTTAAAAAAAGAAGTAATTAATGAGTAAATTTTACTTTTTAAATATATATTTATAAATATATGATAAAAGTGTAAACTTTAATAGATTAAATCTCATCTACTTGTGATTCAAATCTTAAATTCGAGTATGAATCAAGTAGTTTCCGTGATAAAAAAAATTATTATTTTTTGAAGATCTGAATTCGAACATCATAGATGTCAGAGGTGTGAGCATTCAATATCACTTACTCTATATTAATAAAAAAAATTAATTCTACATATTAAATATTAAAAGCAAAATTGAAGGATTAAATGTTAAATTAGTTGTTGATTTACGGCGACGGTGGGTATAGAATATTGAGACCGCAGTTCAATCCAAAATTGAATATCTCCAACCATGCCACGATCGGGCCACGCTCCCGTGCTTATCATTAAAATGTGGATCAATTTCACCAAACATCCTTAAATTAGTTTTAAAATTTAAAATATTCTAATTGAATCGTTAAAGTATTAATCACATCCTTTTATTAATATAAATATGAATTGAATATTAAATAACAACTCGAATCTACATAAATCACGTTTAACACTAAATTTTAAATACATGTCTACCTATTATATAGATAATTCCTTTACTTTTTTTTATGAAAAGCGACCAATATATTCTAACTATGCTCCTCCTTAGTATCAATGGCTAAACTTACAAATATTGATACTTTGAAGATTTATTTAAGAACGTTTGGAAGTTGAAGGACTAATTTACAATTCAATATATTGTTTGGGGATGGTTGAATGAATTAGCCATTATTATATACACATGGGATAATTTAATGCTTATTACATTTTTGGGTAAACTAATTTAAATATCATCAATCTTTAAGAGTTGACTCGTTTATACCACCAACGTTTTAATTTTGTCAATTTTAGCACTGATATTTTACTTTTAAGTGCAATTATGTCGCTCCGCCGTTAATAATTTAATGACACGGTAACATGACAGCTCTGTGCCATGACGTTGCTGACGTGGATGTCTAAAAGGACGTCATTTTGTTGACATAAATAATATTAATTTTTTTAAAAAATCATAAAATTCCTAAAAAAAACCCAAAAATCCCCGTGTCCAAATCAGACTATCATTTTTAGGGGTTTGGGGAAATTGGGAATATTAAAAATTTTAGGTGTTTTTTGAAAAAGAAATATTATTTTTATGAATATAACAAAAATCTTAAGTTAGTTGAGTGGCTAAGCTTTAATCTTTGTATCTGATGGTCTAAAGTCCAAATCATACTAAACTTAAATTTAACTAAATCTCTTCAAACAAAACTATGTTGTTTTAGCTTTTTTAAGCATCAAAATAGTTATCTCAAAACGGTCTCATTTTGGTGAGGCTTCCACGTTAGCAACATCATGTCACCGCGGAGCTTCTATGTTATTGTGCCGTTAAATCATCAACGACAGAGTGGTGTAATTACACTTAAAAGTAAATGTTAGTGCTAAAATTAAAAATACTGAAATGCTGGTGTATAAACGAATCAGCTTAAAGGTTGGTGGTATTTGAATTGATTTACCCTACTTTATAGTCTGAAGGGGTAAAATATTAAAAGTCTAGCGTGAACCACCATCTCTTCTTCCACTGCCTTTCTCGTCAACTTCCTTTATGTGTGTTTGTTTATATATATATATATATAACTCTTTGTAACGATCCTTTAGTCCCATCGGCCGTCGTCTCTCAAATTTCTGTTTTGCTTTTCTTTCGTTGTTATTCCTCTTTTGTTCGTTGCAATGGAGACCGAGTCTCGCACTCTGGAGATCACAATACTGTCAGCAGAAGACCTTAGGATCGGCAACAAACCGGTCAAGAAGAACGCATTCGTCATCGTTTCGATCGATTCTTTCAACAACAAGGCCACGAAGATCGACAGATACGGCGGGAGCTACCCTTCGTGGAACGACAAACTGGTGATGGACATGCCGATGCAAACAAGCTTCATCACCTTGCAAGTCAAATATTGCAAGGGCTCTTCGGGAGGGGAAAAACCCGTGGGGTTTGCTAGGATTCCGGTGACGGATTTCATCGGAGGGTATTCGCCGGAGACTTGCTTGCAGTATTTGAGTTATCGGTTGAGGGATCCTAAGGGGCTGAAGAATGGGATTATTAATATTTGTTTGAGATTAAAAGAGGCTTTACACGGTTGTTCTTCCCAGGCTGCAGCTGCTTCGGCTAGTGGTATTGGGCTGGGGATTCCCATTGATGGACGGAGAGATCTTGGAGTGGTTACTGGGATTCCAATTTGGAGTGGCTATCCATCTAATTCTTTGAGTAGGTAGATTTCATCAAATTGAACCTAATTTTTACAAATATGCATACATTTTATACCTATGATAAAGTTTTGGGTAAACTACGGCAGAGGTCACTGAACCATACTTCAATGATTCTTTTGGTCAATGAACTTTTAAATTATATAACACTCGGTTATTATTTTGAATTGTTACAAAATGCTCATTCAATTTATTGAATCATTACAAAATAATCATTAAATTTATTAAAATTTCGCCCCTCTTTACCTTATTTAGGCCTCGAAATTGTTTAGTACATTCATCCTATCCCTTGAAATCCGTTGGTCGTTTTGACTAACAGAACCGTGAGTCTTCTGCGTCTGTGGATTAAGGGATTATGTTAAAATATTTATTAAACACAATGATCAAAACAAATTTCCAAATTTTTTTTATTTATTTCAATAAGATTAAGGGATTGAGTCAAAATTTAAGATTTTTTTTCTAACCATGGTATTCAACAAATATTTTAAATATTTTATTATTATTTTTTAATAAATGTCACGTTATCATCAAGTCACGTCAATAATTATGTTCAAATTTCATAGTCAATTTGTGCATGGGAAAAATGGTGGTATTAATATATGTAGTATTAGTGAGGATGGTGAATGTCCAGTTTCCTTGTCTCTTATTTCTGGTGAACTTCCCTTGAACGAATATGATGCATGCTTGATTGCCGGTGCCAGTCTTTGTTGGTTCTAAAAACTCAGTTTCCTTGAAAAACAGAGATGGGTCATGGGAAACTTCCATGGATTTCAATACCATAGAAACAACACCAAGTGAACGGCAAGTCGTGAAAAAACGAGACAATAATTAGCTAATTGTTTTCAAAGTGACAATGATATTTGATCAATTCATGCATGGTCGGCAGTCTACCAGAGCATGCAAAACATTTTCCTTTTAAGTATTTTTTTATGTTCAAGTGTTTATACCTGCCGACTGCCGTGCTTGTCGTTTGATTAGGTCGACAGCGATGAGTTTTACTGTTTTTAGGCATGATGGCACTCATGCCCCTAATATGGTCATCATCCATTATTTATTTAGGCCTGTAAATTTGATATTATTAAGTCAAGTTTTTCTCATGCTTACCGCATCCATCACGACAAGAATTGCTTACCGGACCACAACTCAGCCCAATGGTTAAAGATACCAAACAGGCAGAAACTGGGCCGAAATGAATGGTTCTAGACCCCGTCAGTGCAGTTTAAGAAACTATAAATTGATCGAGTAGGTTCACCCATTGCCCCAAGTTGATGCGTATCATGTTTTGAAAGGGGATATGGTGGAACCCATAAGCATGTGAAATGGAAAGTCCAAAAATGCTGCCCCTCTCATAAGTCATAAAGGCCAACTGTTATTTCTTCTTTCGAATAGACCTTGTGAAATAATTGGGTAATTTAATATCATGTGATGATTTCGTACATCATTTACCATAGGTTTCGGGTAGCATTTCATTTTCTTGACTTCTACCTCCGTCCTTGCCCGCCTTAGGTGTATACATGTAATGGTGATCTCACGCTCCCTCATCGTGTACGTGCATGCATGGGAGAATGAAGGTTTTATATCTTAAAGAGAAGAAGGGAATCCATTTTATTTCCCTCTTCAAGGAGGCTGAAACCAAACATCATTTCCAACAGGCAACAGAGATAAAAATGAGAGCGGTTAAACTATACCTGTTTTTATCGTCCGGGCCTGGAAAAAAGACAAAGCTGGGTCTGATTGGGGGTTCCTGCAATGATATTATTGCATCGAGACGAACCGCAATCATATCGACTAAAACGTCCAAACTCGTATTCCTGGGTGCTAACGTGAAAGGGTTTAACGCTTAGCCTGTTAGGCTTACACCCCACAAATTCATCACCATCAGAAAAGTTAGAGAGGCTAAAGCTGGCAAGCCAGCCAATACATACATATCCCATGATCCAGAAACGGCGTTCCTGTCAGGCCACTTTCTTTGTTTGAGAAATACCCTCCAGAAACTTGGCCCCGTTTCATTGTCTTTCTCCACGTATTCCTTGACACAAAGCCAAACCCTTTGCATTTAATGGAATAAACGCTCTCCCCCAACAGCTTCTGCTCCCGCATTTAATGCCCTCCTCTGCAACTTTCTGCCTTGCTCCCAACCTCTCATATGATATCAAACTTGCATCGGTGGCGCGTTGGTTGCACTTGCTCAAACGCCGTCAAATGTGCTATTAAAGCAAAGTTCCAAGACTTGGTTGACTTTGACTTTGGTTGTAGTTGCATTGATTTACACTTCAATGTTGGAGATGTTAACTTCCTTGCTCATAATGTCCTAAGTTTCGCTTGGACAATAGTACCACCCGCAACTACCTTGTAGAGCCATCTATTCTTCTTGTTTCTTCTATTTCGTTAAGCTTTTATGGATGCTTTCTTTTCCCTTAATAGTATCTCAAAGTGGCCATCAACACTATGTATGATTGTTATCGAGCTCTTGTGTCGTTGAGTTGAATCTGTATAATATAATACTCAATTCAGGATTCTGATATTTTTTTGAAATTTTATATACAAATTAACTTAATAGTCATTGAATTTGAACGTTAGTACAAATTTTGAGATTAATATATTAATTTAGTAAGCTTCCAAGAGCCAAAAACCCTAATGAAAGTGACAACTCAATTCAGGTATGTTCCATGACATTATGGGTAGGACAGGACCATGAAATCGAAAAAACTAAACCCCAAACCTGGAAAACAGATTCGATTAAGCCATCTCGAAGGGTCGACCCGAGTCAATACCCGAACCACCTCCCTTCCCTCGAGCTATCCACATGATTAAGCCGATCATCACCACGTGCGGTTCGCTCTTGACTCGACACCCCCCGAACTCACTGAGTTGCACACTTAGATAACTAAATACGCAAGAGACTTGCATGCATGTAGGAACTCAACAAAATGAAAAGGAAAAAAGGGCTTGGTAAGAAAATGAAAAAAAAATCTAGTACAAAAACTGCCCTCGGGTCAGAATCACGTGAGATTTTACCCCTTCAGCTTTCGCACTGAAGGGCAGCTTTGATCTTCTGGACGGTGCACGAAATCAGATTATTGACCGTCTCCACCGAATCTACCGTCAGCTTTTCCGTAGGTAAACTGTTGACCAATATTTGAAACGCCACCGTGAGTAGGGATCCACCCACTCTCGGCGATCCTTCATTGCCACCGCCGTTAGAGATGGTCCCAGGAGAGCCCGGACCGTCCGGGAAGATGGCGAAACCCGAAGGTAGGAGTGCCACGTAAGCAGAATCACCACCGTTCATAACTACGTGCATGGCTGGAATGTCAACAGGCGCGTACACCACAAGCGACCCGGCCGCGTCTATGCATGTCTCCTGCAGTATCAGCATGCTGTTCTGGTTCTCGTTCATGGCCTGCAACCAAGGGGTGAAAAAAGGTTAAAACTTAAAAGAGTCCTAGGGTTCGACATTTTAAAGCTTGAGGACGAGATTATATTTACACTGGCACGGAGGAGAGAGACGCAGTTGCCATGGTCTTGGCCTTTAGCAATGTGGGCCATTTCTTGCATAGGTCCACCGTTGGACAATATGTCCCACTCGCTCCTCAAACGTTCATCACGTAGAAAATCGAACAGTCTTTGAGGTGACACAGGCAACCAAACCGATGTGGCAGCGCTCAACACGATGCCAGACGGCTCGCCGGGATCGTCGACGCTCTTCCGAGTCATAACCCTAACATCTTCATCCACGTTCCCGGCATTCAGCTTGTTCCATTTGTGAACCGTCGAGGCACAAACTCCGGCACAGAAGTTATCGGTCATGCGCTGAGCTAGCTTTAACATGCTTCGCTTCCCACTTGCAGTTATAGCTACAAAAACGAAAAAAATAACAATCATGCTAGTACATTGTACTACAGTGCAGTTAAATAGCAGTCTTCATATGTTAATTACCAGTGTGATTTATAGTAGGAACAGTGGACATAAGTATAGCAAGGCCTTCGCATTGCCTTTGAAGGGTGGCCACCCACCGTTTTGCACCGAAAGCCATGCCGGAGCTCAATAATAGGCGATAGAGTTGGTGAACTTCAGTCTTGTCATATTGAGCATGTTCAACCCATGTCACCTGCAGTTTTTTCAGAAAATAATTAAAACAATTTGTTCAAGGTTACAACCTGAGATTTGAGTGAATTTGATTAGTCCAAAAAAAAATACGAGGCAAAAATTATTGAAAAATGGCTGAAATATTGGGCTTAATGGAAGTATTAGTTTGAGTGCGGTGTGACATCGAAATTTGTACTAATGTCGCCTCACAATCACAGATACTCAAATACAAACAAAAGAGTTTGACTAAAGGGTCTTTCTCTACGAGTTAGGAAAACGAAAACTAACAAAACAAAACATCAGCCGGAGCAGGAAACCTGGTCCACACGCGGTTACATGCATGTCTTAAATTGAGCCAGCATCAAAGAATACAATATTCTATTCAATGTGAAACTCAGGATTACAATGCATTTTGTGGATATATATTTATGAAATTGATGTCTTCAAGCCTAAAAAACCAGCTAAAATTGTAGTAGCAGAGGCTTCCATTGACATAAAAAAAAAAAACAATGGGATAGCAGCATCGTTCTGCGGTGTTGCAGTGGGATTATTTTATTGTGATGAAGAAAACCCAGATGTTGAAACTTGAAATTTATACAATATTTTGACATTAGAACCATCGAAATCAATAAATTAAGACACTAGGAAGGTTCAGATTCTTCAGAGAGGTTAGTTTAATGAATTGAATTGGAAGCAAACCAGGAAATGACAGTGTGGGGCTTGCACTGAGTAATCACTAGAAAAAAACAAAGTTCCTCTTGAAGGTTGGAGTTGGGAATGCAAATGTCTATCAATGGACATATCTTGAACATATATTTGGTAATAAAAGAGGGTACCTTGGAGTATCCATTGGGCATATCTTGGACAACACAGCCAGAAGGAAGCCTCCTACAGTTAACAAAAGTGGGTGCACCTGAAGTACTTTCTCGGATGCTATCGATGGACACATCCACCACTGCCCAGACCCCTTCTGCATGTTGCTTGCAGAACCTTAAGAAACTAACCTCGCGCACTGGAACCAAAGGAGAGAGGACTTGGAGCTCAGCCTGCATCTGGAACCATAATTGAAATATGGAGAACTATTTATCACAACACTTGTGATATGGGCATTTAACTTTTGCAACAAACTAACTTATATACCAGTTGAATTAAACCATTTCTGGTTCCTCCCATGCCATTGGATATCACGTCAGTAGTTGATGTTCTAGCAATCAAACAAGGAAACATCTCCGCCCAACGATTCTATGGAGCAAAAGAGGGAAAATGCTTAGAAAATGAGTTCGAAACCCTTAAATTCAAGTGAAAACTGGTTCATTAATGGAATGATATGTAGTTGGCTAACCGAGTCCATCAAAGTTTCCACTAGGGCCAAACTGTTGATGATCACCATACCGGTCTCTCTAGAAGCCTCACTCTCAAAGCCGGTTGGTTTCAAGCCGATGCAAGGAGTGAATATTCTCAAGTACTCATCATGGTTTAACATTTCTCTTCCATCTTCCAAGCTCCTAATCCAAAGTGGTTCATCAGTTTGATCCATCTTAATCAGTTCATCCATGGCGGCCAAAGCGAGTTCCAAAAACATCGATCTTTCCACCGATCTATCGAGTCCAGTGACTCCGGATGCTGGTCTGTTAGTAGTAGTAGCCACTGGCGGCAAAGAATTCGTAACCCCACCTCCAAAATATGGCCCCAAAGGCCACGTCGTAGCGGCCAAGGAAACGGTGCTTAGACCGCCAAATCCATTGGTACCAACACCAAGCTCCAAACTTGAGATCGGCATTGGAGGTGTTGAAATTGGACGCCCTAAAAACTTGCCAGCGAGTGCACAAACTCGATCTAATTCATCTTTTAAGCGAGCGTTCTCAATCCTAAGATGCTGCTCTTCAAGTGATATATCACCAACAATAGCCGGACCCCCACAGTTGGAACATATTGGATTCCCCATAGCATCCCTAATAGACGTGTTCTCAGCTCGAAGCTTGTCGTTCTCTTGTCTCAGTGAAGAGTTCTCGTGGCGTTCTAATTGAGTCTGAAAAATTATCAAATTTCAACATTTAAAAGTAACCCAAAAAGATTTAAAACAACAATAGTTGGTTCCTGCGTATACCTTCATTTGAGTCCGGCGATTTTGAAACCAGAACTTGACCTGCCTGGTTTCTAGGCAAAGCCTTTTGCTAAGCTCCAATCTCTGTTTTTCATCGGGATGAGGGCACTCCTTAAAGAGACTAAACCAAAAAAGAAAAAGAAAAAATGGAAAGAACCAAAATGGTTAAGGCAATGTTCCATAGGAGGAGAGAAGAAATATTGAAGCTTCTGAAAAAAGGAACATGAAATCATACGCTTCGAGCTCTTGGATTTGCTGAGGAGTGTGTCGGTGGTATCTCTTCTTCCTCGGAGGTTTGTCGGCGGCGGCATCTTGATCATCACCAGAAACACTATCGATGTTATCACTACCAGATCTGATCTCATGTTCATCTTCTCTGCTTCTTCTCCCAATACTTGCCTCAAAATTCTCACCCAGTCTAGTTTCATCTCCTAAGTGCTTATTGTTGGATCATAAACTTGATCCATTATGGGAGCCTAAACCCAAACCCAAACTAAATTGATGTCATTACTTACATCATTTAATTAAAGATGTCATTGCTTACATCATTTAATTAATGATGTCATTGCTTACATCAATTTAGTTAGGTGAGAGTTAGATATTTGTTGAATTTGTAATGGTTTAAATTAGTTTATTTGTGTGGTGAAGGATTGTTCTTGAGTAGTATAAATACCCCTTCTCATTTTAGTTTTAAGCATCAAGAAAAATTAAGAGCTTCTAAGTGAGTGAAGAAGCAAAGTCTTATAAGAGTGAGTTGTAGTTCTTGTTTTTGAGTGAGAGTACTCTTGTAATATTTGTTTGAGTTTCAATAAAAGTTGTTTGTGTGAGTGTTTTATTTCCAACAAAGTGGCATCAGAGAGAGTTGGAAAGATCGAAGGTCTCGACGAGAGGAATACGACGCCGCCAGAATTTTCTCAATCTGAGTTCTGACGCACCGCCACGCACCGCCGGAAGACAAAATCCGATTATATTGAGAGATATGGCAAATGGTATGGCACCATTCCAAGTTCCGACACTCAACAACAACAACTACGACAATTGGAGTATCAAAATGAAGGCACTTCTTGGATCACAAGATGTGTGGGATATCATAGAGAAAGGCTATAACGAGCCTGCGGATGATGATGTTTTTGCTACTCTTACACCAGATCAAAAGACAACTTTGAAGGATTCAAGAAAGAGAGACAAGAAGGCTCTCTACCTCATCTATCAAGCATTAGATGATGATGGTTTTGAAAAGATTTCAAGTGCAAGCTCTAGCAAGGAAGCGTGGGAGAAGCTGCAAACCTCTTACAAAGGATCCGAGCAAGTGAAGAAGGTTCGTCTCCAAACATTAAGAGGTGAATTTGAATCCTTAAACATGAAAGCATCTGAGTCTATTTCAGATTATTTCTCAAGAGTAGTAGCTGTTTCTAATCAATTAAAAAGAAATGGTGAAAAGTTAGACGATGTGAGGATAATAGAGAAGATACTCCGTTCGTTGGATCCCAAATTTGAGCACATCGTCGTGACGATTGAAGAAACTAAAGACTTGGAAGAAATGAAGATCGAACAGCTCCAAGGATCATTGCAAGCATACGAAGAGAAGCATAAAAAGAAGCATGAGTTTACTGAGCAACTCCTCAAGCTGCAACTCAAGGATATGCATGAGAGCCAACGCAATGATAGAAACCAACGTGGCCAAGGCAGAGGTAGAGGCCATGGACGAGGAGAAAGCTCAACACGAGGCCGTGGAAGAATTAATCCAAACTCAAAGTATGACAAATCTCAAATTCGATGTTATAATTGTCAAAAATTTGGGCATTATGCTTCAGAATGTAGAGCTCCCAACAACAAAATTGAGGAGAAGGCCAATTACGTGGAGGAAAAGACAGATGGCAAAGAAACTCTTCTTCTAGCACGAAAGGAAACTGATGGTGGCCAAGCAAATTCCTGGTATCTTGACAGTGGTGCAAGCAATCACATGTGTGGAAGGAAAGACATGTTTGTGGAGCTAGACGAGTCAGTAAGTGGAAATGTTTCGTTTGGAGATGATTCCACAATAGCAGTGAAAGGGAGAGGTAACATTCTTATCCGTTTGAAAGATGGGAGACATCAATTTATTTCAAATGTCTACTATGTGCCCAATATGAAAAGTAACATTTTAAGTTTAGGGCAACTGGTAGAGAAAGGTTATGATATTCATATGAATAATTATAATCTTTCTATAAAAGATGATAAGAATAACTTCATTGCTAAAGTGCCGATGTCAAAGAATAGAATGTTCTTGATCAACATACAAATGATGTTGCAAAGTGCCTGAAAGCTTGCTACAAAGATGCATCATGGCTTTGGCATCTTCGATTTGGGCATCTCAATTTTGGAGGTCTAGAGCTATTATCTAAGAAGGAGATGGTGAAAGGACTACCTCACATCAACCATCCTGACCAGCTCTGTGAAGGGTGTCTAGTCGGGAAACAATTCAGGAAAAGCTTTCCAAAGGAGTCAGAGACAAGAGCTAAGAAGCCACTTGAGCTCATCCATACCGATGTGTGTGGACCGATCAAGCCAAGCTCTCTCGGTAACAATAACTATTTTCTTCTCTTCATTGATGATTTTTCAAGAAAAACCTGGGTATATTCTTGAAACAGAAGTCAGAAGTTTTTGAAGTCTTCAAGAAGTTCAAAGCAGCAGTGGAGAGAGAAAGCGGTAGAAAGATCAAAGCCATGAGATCCGATCGAGGTGGAGAATTTACTTCCAGGGAGTTTCAAGAGTTCTGTGAAGCAAATGGAATTCGTCGACCAATGACAGTTCCTAGATCCCCCCAGCAAAATGGTGTGGCAGAAAGAAAGAATAGAACAATCCTCGACATGGCACGAAGCATGCTCAAAAGCAAGAAACTACCCAAAGAATTTTGGGCGGAAGCAGTATCGTGTGCAGTCTACTTGTCAAATCGATCTCCAACAAGAAGTGTATGGGGAAAGACACCGCAAGAGGCATGGAGTGGAAGAAAGCCTGGCATTTCCCACTTGAGAACCTTTGGAAGTATAGCCCATGTTCACGTACCAGACGAGAGAAGAACGAAGCTTGATGATAAAAAGCGAGAGTTTTATCTTCATCGGCTATGATGCTAATTCGAAGGGCTACAAGTTGTACAATCCAGACAATAAGAAGTTTGTGATTAGTCGAGATGTGGTCTTCAACGAAGAAGGAGAATGGGATTTTAACTCTCATACAGATGACTTCAATTTCTTTCCTCAGTTTGAAGAAGATGAGCAGACAATGAGGGAGCAACTAGATGAATCTCAACAAGAGCTTGCAACTCCACCCACTTCACCAACATCAACCACTCAAGGAGACTCATCACCTTCATCATCGTCAAGTGGGAGTCAAAGTGAAAGAGTTGTGCAACGCACAAGAAGCCTTAGAGATCTCTATGAGGTAACTGAACGACAAGATAATCTTACATTATTTTGTCTGTTTGCCGATTGTGAACCAGTGAGCTTTCAAGAAGCGGTACAAGAAAAGAAATGGAGAGATGCGATGGACGAAGAAATCAAGGCCATCGAGAAGAATGACACATGGGAACTTACCTCACTTCCCAAGGGACATAAGGCGATAGGTGTCAAATGGGTGTACAAAACAAAGCAAAACGCCAAAGGAGAGATTGAAAGGCACAAGGCGAGGCTAGTTGCTAAAGGCTATAGTCAAAAGGCTGGAATTGACTATGATGAGGTATTTGCTCCTGTTGCTCGATTGGAGACTATCAGACTAATCATTTCTTTAGCAGCTCAAAACAAGTGGAAGATACAACAGATGGATGTAAAGTCCGCCTTCCTAAATGGAGTTCTTGAAGAGGAACTTTACATTCAGCAACCATCAGGCTATGAAGTCAAAGGGCATGAAGACAAGGTGTTGAAGTTGAAGAAGGCTCTTTACGGGCTAAAACAAGCACCAAGGGCATGGAATAGCCGAATCGACAAGTACTTCCAAGAGAATGGCTTCAACAAATGTCCCTACGAGCATGCTCTATATATCAAGATCAAAGATGAAGATATTTTGATCGTGTGCCTCTACGTGGACGATTTGATCTTCACTGGAAGCAACCCAAGCATGTTTAATGAATTCAAGGATGTGATGATGAAAGAATTCGAGATGACAGACATGGGGTTCATGGCGTACTACCTTGGCATTGAAGTTAAGCAACAAAATGATGGAATTTTCATTTCACAGGAAAGCTATGCAAAGGAGATACTGAAGAAGTTCAAGATGGAGAACTGTAAGCCAATAAGCACACCGGCAGAATACGGGATCAAGATGACCAAACATGAAGAAGGCGAAAGTGTAGATCCAACATTCTTCAAAGTTTGGTAGGAAGTCTACGCTATCTAACTTGCACGAGACCCGATATTCTTCACGCAGTTGGATTGGTTAGTCGCTACATGGAATCCCCAACAACCACCCATTTTAAAGCTGCAAAGAGAATTCTTCGCTATCTGAAAGGTACAATTGACTTTGGCTTGTTCTATTCAGTTTCTAATGATTACAAGCTTGTTGGATATAGCGACAGTGATTGGGGTGGAGACATAGATAATCGAAGGAGTACTACTGGATTCGTATTTTTCATGGGAGATATTGCATTCACATGGATGTCAAAGAAACAACCGATTGTCACATTGTCCACTTGTGAAGCGGAATATGTTGCTACCTCATGTGTTTGTCATGCAATTTGGCTTAGAAATCTATTGAAGGAGATTGGTTTGATACAAGAAGAGCCTACCAAGGTTTGTGTCGACAACAAGTCAGCCATTGCCTTAGCGAAGAATCCAGTATTCCATGATCGAAGCAAGCACATTGATATTCGCTATCACTATATAAGGGAGTGTGTTGCAAGAAAAGATGTGGAAGTTGATTATGTGAAGTCACAAGATCAAGTTGCTGATATTTTTACCAAGCCACTGACCAGCGAAGACTTCTTAAGATTAAGGAACCTACTAGGGGTCACGAGATCAAGTTTAAGGGAGGGTGTTGGATCATAAACTTGATCCATTATGGGAGCCTAAACCCAAACCCAAACTAAATTGATGTCATTACTTACATCATTTAATTAAAGATGTCATTGCTTACATCATTTAATTAATGATGTCATTGCTTACATCAATTTAGTTAGGTGAGAGTTAGATATTTGTTGAATTTGTAATGGTTTAAATTAGTTTATTTGTGTGGTGAAGGATTGTTCTTGAGTAGTATAAATACCCCTTCTCATTTTAGTTTTAAGCATCAAGAAAAATTAAGAGCTTCTAAGTGAGTGAAGAAGCAAAGTCTTATAAGAGTGAGTTGTAGTTCTTGTTTTTGAGTGAGAGTACTCTTGTAATATTTGTTTGAGTTTCAATAAAAGTTGTTTGTGTGAGTGTTTTATTTCCAACACTTATCACCCATATTAGGTTGTTGCTGCAAAACAGACGATAGGAAAACAAAACAACCCAGATCAGTTTCTTTTAACGACAAAAGCCAGCAACAGTTCCAAAAACAAAACATCAGAGAAGAGTGTTCATGTTTTATGATTACAAGAGCAAGAGAGAGGCCTGGGGAATTGAACATGTTCTTAGGAAGCGAAGGGGAGACAAGGTGAGTAGACTGAGCTAAAGCACCAGTGGGTATGCCGTGGTTGTTGTTGCTATAAGGGATGTCTGCAACTATTCTTGCACCCACAAGGCCTTCTTTAGTACCAGAACTGTAATCAATAAATCCCCCAAAACTCATCAAAGAAGGCTCCTTTGTAATGCAACCTTTTGCTTGTTTTTCTGGAAATATCAAGCACTAGCTTTGATTCAGGTCCTTTTCTTTTTTTCTTTTCTCTACAAATTTACAAGCACTGCCTTTACACTTACTCCGCCATTGAAACCCAAATTTGCAGATAAACATATATACATAATAAAAAAAACAAAGAGAGAGGATAGAGGAGACAAAAGGATGAACAAACTCCAAATGTTTCCAACTCCCTCTCTAAAAAAGAAGTGAGTTTGAATGGAGAGAAAGAAAGAGAAAGAAGGCAAGCAAAACTCTATTTGTGCTTGTTTATTGCTGCTTAGCTCTTCGTTCTCAACCCCCCCCCCCCTTCTCTGCCTATCTCTCTTCAACAGAAAATAACCCCTTTTCCCTTAGTTTTTAAGGTATGGGAAAGTAAGGAAGAAAGCTTTAAAAATCAGTTGGGTGGAGCGTTTCAAAGAAGATAGTAAATGCGAACCCTAATTTTGGCAAGGAGTCTACTATATTTCGCTCGTTCTCTGCATGCTTCACACTCTTACTACTAGTCTAAAAGGTTAAGATTTAAAAACAACAAAAAGTTCCGGAAAAAAAAAATCCTTTTTTGGGAAAAATGCTGAAGATAACACGTAATATGTGGACTCTACGAAGCCTTACATAGAGATACCAACGAGAGAGGGTCAGTTGACTCATCTTCTCTTCAAGAGTCTGTTACTGACAGTGAAAATATATAATGTACTCCCTGTTTTTTTTTTGTCATTTTAACCTGATTTTGGGACAGGGTAAGTTTAAAGACACAAACAAACCAAAGAGAGAGGTCTCAACCCAATTTCTTACATCGATATTGATAGGACAGAGTTTCAGATTTGCTGCCCCCTTTTCTTCTCTCTATCCCTAAAAATTTCAATACATTGGGATCTGTAAAAACACCAAAGTTATGGACAAATTACGTTCTTTTCCTTCTTTTTTGTCTTCCTTCCATTGCCTTTTGTAATATAAAACTGAGATAGTGAACAATATATTGATATGTGATTTGTAACCCATAGGATTCGAACTCAGCTTTGGGAATGATGAAGCCTTCCGACCATCATCATAATGCACCAGATTTGTTAATTCCTCACTGCAATTAATTTGTTAATCATTTAAGACATGGAAAAAATAAAAAATTTCCATTTTAAAAATAAATTCAATGCTTGCACTTTTTTCATGGGTTAGTATAGAAATTAGAAAGGACATGCATGCCATGTTTTGCCGACCCAAGGCAATACTTGACCATGACTGGGGAACACACCACTCTAGGACTCGCAATTTTATGCTCGACAATCCATCTTTTGCTTCTTCTTTTTCACCTAAACTACTGTGATAATCTCTGTACTCTACATTCAGACCACAGCTTGTTTCGTGTTTTGGCTTTTCGAATTTCACCTCTCTTTCTTGCAAGTACTGTCGGAGTAGGTAATGATCTAGAAGACACTAGTAAAAAACTAGCTGCCATTGATGAATTCGAAGAACTAACTTTATACGGAAGTACTCTGAAGTCAATTTATTCCATTTATAAATTAAAATTTGAATCTTAAATTTTGTTCAAGGCATTGAATCTGAGCTAACATGTTGATCCAATTTTTTTTAAAGAGTTAGTGCAAGGCCTACTCCACCAACCCACCTAGGCACCTACCCTCCACCCTGTCGTCTTTTCTTCTGCAGTTGCAGTAATGGCTTCTCCTAGTGCCTATCCCCATGCAGCTAACATTAAAGATGCGTTTGATCTTTTTTTTTTTTCAGAAACACATAAGAATAATGAAAAGCAATGCATTGCCCCGTTCCTATACTTACTGCTACAAAAATGTTGCAGGTACAACTTGATGATGACAGGCTTGGTTGTCTTTTTATGGCAATGGCATGGCAGCTCAGCTTTGTATGAAAATCTTTGTTATACCTGCTCAACAGAATAAGCTTTAAACCCGAAGAAATCCAGCCCTACATATGACGGGCTGATCCGAATTCTAGGGATTCCCCTTTTATTTCAACCAAAACACACTCTAAACCACTACAAACATAGAAAGCAATAACACTCTTCAGGGTTTCTAGAATTACAAAGCCTTGCTTAAACAAGATTATGCATTCAGATTGTATTGGTAAGCGTTATGGTAGTTATTTAAAATAAAATAACTGGTACCATGAGCTGAAATTTTTAAAAATATGTAAAGAAAAACTGATAATTGAAAGCTCGAGAGAAAAAAATAAGAATATATACAAAACAATGTAGCATGAGGTCCATTAAACGCACTCGTCAACACTATGAATCCAATCCTCCTTTTCACATCAGGAAGCAAGGCCAATCCTTATTACGAAATTCTATTCATGGTTCAGACTTTCCTGGAAACATTAAGATTGCATTCATGCTTGAGAAGATTTGCCCTCAGCAGCATCGCCCTAACATCCTGATCAAATTCATTGCCAGTTTGCAAAACTCGCTGGAAAGTTTTATTTCTCTGATCAGCATGCCGTCCGTGCATGAAGAATTTTATTATGCGAGTCGATCCGAGCCTGTAGAAACATTATAATCTTCGTTAAAAAATTATACCTTTTGTGTCTGTTTTTGTTGCATGGGTCTACATTTGAAATGTTTTAGCTTTGCCTCAACGAATTAAGCACATTAACAAGGACTGAATCTACCCCTTCCTATTACACAATTTTATATATCCTATTCAAAAGGTGAATAACCATTTTCAGTCTAAATATGAAATTTGTACTCGTTGACCGCTGAAGAGATGCAGAGTTAATAAACAAATCAATTGGGTCTAATATTTGAAAGTCTGCATACATGTGTACCCATGCACTTTTAAAACTTACGTAAGCAACATACTAGTGCCACAAATACCTGTGTCTGGTTGTCAGTAATCAAAGCTTCTAGTTCTTTCTCTAGCCTTGCAACACTTGTTTTTGAAGGCATCGGCCATCATTCGCATATCAACAGAAACAAATGGAAGGGTATACTGGATGAGGGCTTCGTTGCAGACTTAATCATATAGGGTATCAACATGGTCATATAAATGGATGTCAAGCATCAGGTTTGGTTTGAGGTTTCCAAGATATTCCAAGCAAGAAGCATAATGGGTGCAATAAGAAAAAGAAGAATTACAATCTAAACCACCAGACAACAATAAGTGCTTCTCATCCGTTAAAGAGTAATAAAAATAACGACTTGATCAAGACCCCGAGTAATCAAGTACATATTATGTTATTTATCATAGTTATCATCAGTTAGAGTAAAAATAAATAAGTGCTTCTCATTAGTCACTAAAGTAATCAAGTACATATAACGTTATTTATCATAGTTATTACCCACAAGAATGGCAGCAGAAAGCACACTTACCATCTCGTCTCCTAATAAAATTTCCTCTTATTCTTTCGCCTCAAGTAATAAGCCAGAACAAAAACCAAATAAGTTCTACAAGATTCTTTAATGTCCAATTTTTTTTTTTCATTTACACCAATACAGAGAGACTAAAACATGAAGATGAAATACCTCGAGTAAAAATCATTAATAAGCTCCCTTACTTCAGGTACCAACTCCAACAATCACGGAAATTGGTATTGTCTATAACTATGTTCTGAAAAGTAAAAGCAATCAAATTACTAAGAAATCTATTAAATGACCATAAGACATGAATGAAAAATAAAGGAGGGTTGGGGAAAGTAGAGACAGAATAGATGCCTTTAGTTCAGTTCGATCAAAGCTTGCAAGTGCACAAAGCCCACCATATGTAGCGACATCTTGAGGAGCAATAACCTCACTGTATGAATCCCCCAATTCTGGACCCACTTCCAAAAACTGCATTCGCAGAAAAGAATTCCCACAATGAAATGATAGTTGGTCAAAATAGAAGCTAGTCTCAGAACCCCAGTCACAATATCAAAAGTACAGCAATTATCAATGCGAGCTGACCAATCAAAGAAACCCTCAACATTATAAAGCTTTCAGAAATTTTCAAATTAATTAGACCCTCAAGGCACATAACCAACGGCTTTACCATCAAAAGAATACTATTATACTGGTTTTCTCATATCAGCCTAGCCAAGTGTCAAAAGTTCTCCACCATAATCTAGACAATAATGCAAACTAAAAGAGGATTTCAGGCTTCCTTCTAGAATGCAGTGTGCTGTGTGCTGCCTAGTAGATTGTTTGAATTTGGTCCATAAAAACTTACAAGGCTCAAGCTCACGTCATGTTAATTTTGAGTTTATAGTACAAAATAAATTTTGAAATAAAATACCTCACTAGACAAGGAGTGGGTAAAGGATGAAAAATGGAATGGTTAATGGTATCAATTATACAATGTGAATAAGCACCCATTTTCAGAGATACATGCCTATGCAAAAGCCAAATGAATCATATATGCTACTATTCTCTTCTCTTCTACATATTTTGGGCATATGAACTTCAATACGCCTGGCCAATAAAAGACAGCATATGATATCAACCAATGACAAGGAGAAAAACATGAGTTGACAAACCTTACGAGCAGCAAGCTTGTACTTCTTAGCTTCCAAATGAGCCAACCCGGCAGCACAACATAGCTTAGCAACAGTGGAGGGTTCAAGTGCCTCGGGTGTTTGCTCAGCTTTACAAACGTAGCTAGTCACATTACCAAATTGACCCATCTTAATGCTCACAAGAATTGCACTCAAACACATCTGAATAATATGCTTTGACGTAGTGCAATAATCACGAGTCCGAACATAGCTTTTAAAAGCATCCCCCAATGCTCCGTGAGCATAGCAAAAGTCTCCAAAATCATTGTATCCCATTCTTATACTTGCTTTAATTAAATTCGACCGAAAAGTTAAAAATAAAGAACAAAGTTACCATACATAAACAATTTAAAACGGGAAAAGAATAGTTGAGTAGAACAAATTGAATTACCCTATAAGCATTGAGTTCGCTTTCGAGCTTTTCTTTCATCTGCTCGGCTTTTCGATCAAGCAGCATCCATTTCATAGTTGGGACCCAATCGACCTTCGATCTCCTGAACCACTTCACGGAAAAGCTGCGTGTTCCCCCCCCCTTTTGATTTCGTCATACGCCATCC